AGGTAGTTTCAGGTGTGAGTTCAGGGGGTCAGTGGGGCAAGGGTGATCATTGTGGGCATGGCATGGTGAGGTGAAGATCTCTCCTGCACAAAGTGAGAGCCAGTCCCGTTGCCTCTGCCATTTTCCCGTTTCCTAGTCCGTTCTCCTCGAACTCTCTCCCCTCCTGTCCCTCCATCTGCTCCCTGCACCACCCGTTTCCCTCCTCAGCTCCTCGCGCTGCTCGTTGATGGTCGGTCAGCACCGCTCCTGCAGCCGCTACCAGCAGCGCTGTTCCTTGCCTGCACAACCATGTTCGCATGCACCTGTTCCCTCCCCTCCCCCCTCAGCTCCTCGCGCTGCTCATTGAGAGCCCCACCCCTGCTGCCGTTACCAACAGCATACATGGCGCTCTTCCCTGCCCTCATCACCACCTTCCCTCCCCTCCCCTCCCTCCATCTTCTGCACCAACCCCGTCCCCTCGCAGCTGCTCGCGCTGCTCATCGAGAGCCGCTCAGCACCACCTCTGCTACCCCTGCCACCGGCGTACATGGCGCTCTTCCCCGCGCTCATCTCACCCACGCTGTGGGAGCGAGCCGGCAACGTGCCTGCCCTCGTGCGCCTGCTGCAGGTGAGCCCTCACGGACGGCCATACCCCTGCTGGATGTAATTCTTTTGGCCCGTTTGCCACTTCCCAGTGCTGCCACCCTGCCAGCCGCCCCTCGTCCCTCCGCTGGTTCCTCTCTGCCGCCAGCTCTGAGAAGCATTACTCCCTGCCTCTCCTCACCTCCATCTCCTCATTTCTTGCTTGGTCTTCGTTCCTTCCCCTCACTCTCTCCCCCACATTCCCTCACCTGCAATCCTTCCCCTCAAACCCTCTCCCTCACTCCCTCCCCTCCCTCCCTCTCCGGAGCACCTCTGCTCATCCCGTCCCATCGCCCACTTCCCTTGCAACCTCACGTCCCCACCATGCCCTAGCCTCATCCTCTATAACTCCCCCTCGCCGTCCCCCTCCCCTCCTCCCCCTCACCCTCCCCGTCCCCTTCCATTCCCCTCCCCCTCCCCTCCCCATCCTCTTCCCCTTACCCTTCCCCTCCCCCTCCCCCAGGCGTACCTGCAAAAGGCCTCCAAGGAGATAGTGGGGGGAGGCCAGGTGCCGCCAGTGCTGGGCGTGTTTCAGAAGCTGATAGCCTCCAAGCACTCGGACCATCAGGGCTTCTTCATCCTCAACACCGTCGTGGAGCATCTGGACTATGCGGCTCTTGCTCCGTTCATCCCCACCATCTGGAACCTGCTCTTCTACAGGCTGCAGGTAGGTGGGTTTGTGGGTACTCATAGCCTCGAAGCACTCGGACCATCAGGGCTTCTTCATTCTCAACACCGTCGTGGAGCACTTGGATTATCCCACCCTCGCGCCCTTCGTGCCCACCATCTGGAACCTGCTCTTCTACAGGCTGCAGGTAGGTGGGTGTGTTCAGAGCGGTGCTGCTGGGTGGGTGAATGGGTACAGAGCGGTGCTGGTGGGTGTGAAGGGTCGAGCATCTGGACCATGCCACCCTGGCGCCCTTCGTCCCCACCATCTGGAACCTGCTCTTCTATAGGCTGCAGGTGAGTGGATGGGTGGGTTGGTGAATGGGTACAGAGCGGTGCTGGTGGGTGTGAAGGTGACTGGTAGCGTCGAAGCACTCGGACCATCAGGGTTTGTTCATTGTAAACACTGACGTCGAGCACGTAGGCTATGCGGCACTCGCGCCTTTTGTCATCTGCAACCTCCTCTTCTACCACCCACACCATCTATCCTCTCCCCCAAACTCCCTTTTTCCCCACACCCCATACCCTCCCCCCACCATCCCTCCCCATCCCAGTAATCCCGCACGCCCAAGTTCGTGCTGGGGCTGCTCATCTTCCTCTCGCTCTTCCTGGTGAAGCACGGAGTGGCGCCCGTGGTGGCGTTGGTCAACGCAGTGCAGCCGGGCCTCTTCCTGCAGATCACCGCCAGCGTGTGGGCGCCATCGCTGTTCGACCTACCCTCCCTTCCACTCGACCCCTTCCCTCCTTCAAGCTCCATACCCGACCTTCCTCCCCTTCTCCCCTCCCCAACCCCCTCCCTCGCCTCCACCAGAACTCCCGTACGCCCAAGTTTGTTAGGGGCCTGCTCATCTTCCTCTCCCTTTTCCTTGTCAAGCACGGCGTAACCCCCGTGGTGGCGTCGGTCAACGCGGTGCAGCCGGGCCTCTTCCTGCAGATCACTGCCAGCGTGTGGGCGCCTGGGTTGTTCGGCTTACCCTCCCTTCCGCTCGCCCCAACCTCCGTCCTGCCCTTCCTTTCAAGTTTCATACCAGACCTTTCTCTCCTTTCCTTCCCCTCCGCACCCTCCTCCCTCCCGCCCGTTCTCCAGAATTCCCGTACGCCCAAATTTGTGAGGGGTCTGCTCATCTTCCTTTCCCTTTTCCTCGTCAAGCACGGAGTGGCGCCCGTGGTGGCGTCGGTCAATGCAGTGCAGCCGGGCCTCTTCCTGCAGATCACAGCCGGCGTGTGGGCGCCCGGGCTGCCCTCCATCTGTGACGCCATTGAGACCAAGCTCTGTGCCGTGGCCGCTACCGACGTGCTGTGTGAATGCAGTGAATTGCAGGTGGGTGGTGTGTAGTGCAGATGGGTGGTGGGTTCCTTTCTCCCCCTTCCCGCTAGTCATGTCGCTCCTCTCCATCCCTCACGTGTGGGCGCCCGGGCTGCCCTCCATCTGTGACGCCATTGAGACCAAGCTCTGTGCCGTGGCCGCCACTGACGTGCTGTGTGAATGCAGTGAATTGCAGGTGAGTAGTGGGGAGGGTGGGGGTTGCAGGTGGGGTGGGGGTTGCAGGTGGGGTGGGGGTTGCAGGTGGGGTGGGAATCGCTATGCAGGTGTCACGTGGGAGATGTGTGTTGAAAAGAGTGCTGTGAGTGAGGGGGCGGGGATTAGGTGCTGCTGCGCTGCACACTAGTGCACTGCTATGCCTCTCATGCTGTCAACACTTACTGAGCTGCGTGTGCTGCCACAGCATGAGGTGCAACGCACGTTCTCTCTCTTTGCTCACTCTCCCCCCTGTTACTTCAACCCACCCATCCCCTCCCCCAATCTCCCCCAATCTCCCCGGCCCCCTTCAGGCTGACTCAGCCCTGCCCACATGGGCTCGCCTGCTCAACGCCGTTCGAACACTGCTACTGCAGCCCAGGGAGCAGCGGGAGGCAGCACAGAGGGGGCACAGAGCAGGCACAGACAGCGCTTGCCCCATCTCTCTCGTCCACCGCGCCTCCACTTCACCTCGTATCGCCCTTGGCCCTTGCCCCATTTCCCCCCCATCCCTTCCTACTGTCAGGCTGATAGTGCCTTGCCCACGTGGGCTCGACTCCTTGACGCCGTCTTAACCTTACTGGTGCAGCCCAGGGAGCAGAGGGAGGCAGCACAGGCAGAGGAGCCAGACGTGCCCGATGCAGAGGAGAGGAGATCGCATCGGGGTATGCGGCCTGCACCATGCATCCACCCATCTCCCCATCCCGTCCTTCCCCCATTTCTCCTCCCCCCCTCCGGCCTTCCCCCGTCCCCACTTCAGGCTGACCCGGCCCTACCCACGTGGGCTCGCCTGCTCGATGCCGTCTTGACTCTCCTGGTACAACCCAGGGAGCAGCGGGAGGCAGCACAGGCAGAGGAACCAGACGTGCCCGATGCCGAGGAGATCGCATCGGGGTATGCGGCCTCGTATGCCCAACTGCACCACGCGGGGAAGACTGAGGAGGATCCCGTGAAGGATAAGACGAACGACGCGAGGCAGTATTTGACTGTGGGGCTGGGGGCGCTGACGGCGAGGAGTCCGGGGCGGTTTGGAGCGGTGATACAGCAGGGGGTGAGTGATGAGAACAGGAAGGCTCTGGCGCAGTTCTGTGCCGGTTACGGGGTAACGCTGGCGTGACATGGTGACTCTCGAGTCTACTCGAGTCTACTTGACTCTACTCGAGTCCGTGGCGCACTTATGTGTTGGTTACGGCGTATCACTGGCATGAGATTCACGAGGGCAGGAGCAGTAGGGTGCAGTGAGAATCACACGGCTTTCTCTTGCATTTCTGGGGTGCACAAGGAGATTGTGGGAGAGTGAGCAGAGAAGTTAGTCATGCATGGATGCGGAATGCAGTGGGCCGGGGAACCAAAGGCAGGTGGTGGTGAGTGAGGGAGCTGAATGGGCTACCTGCTGCTCACCATTGCACAGACAGATGCCCATTGTATTGTGGGCGGCTTACTGTTGTTCTTTTCTGCCCGGATCCCACCTTCAATTCTTGGTTGTCATGAAGGTGCTGTGCGTTTCCGTTAGTTTGCGACAAATACAATACCATTACAAGGTACGGTAAGTGCAGTACCGTACGAAATCACAGCTGTCACAACTGGGTGGTGTTGTGTTGGTCCAAATTGCTAGATGAATCCCATCCGGTCGGCAAGGAGCATATGTATGCCTGACCACGGAACATCGAGAGTGAACGTTTTTGAGTAAGGAAATGAACAATGAAGCCACTGTCAACGAATGAAAAAATATGTATGTTTTAACATATATAAAAAAAGAGCAGAATCTCCTAGTGCATGGACGGTATGAGTTTGTACAACGCACATGCACACCAATGCCTCATGCACCCCAGGCACCTGATGCAAGCAAATTCCAGCAACCAGGCAAGCAGCATGTAGAGCCACAAGCGCCCACACGAGGCCCCCACAGGTGGCTCATAAAAGGCAGGTCTTCAAACCAAGGGAATCACAGGAGGGTAGTAGTTGCAGAAGAAAGTATACCCTGTCCCCATGCTGTAAGAGCACATGCGCGGTGACGCCTGATAGCAGGTGTTGCTCCACGTGCTACAGGTCCAATTCCCCCCGCACGGGAAGGCACCGCAGCAGATGCAGTTGCTCATGCACACGCTGAACGTGCTGCTGGCAGCGCCTGGCGCTTGAGCTGTCAGGTTGCACTGCTTCTCACATAGGATCTTGCGGAAGCTACAGCAGGTGCCTAGAGGGGTGCCGTGAAGGTAGTGTTGGGTCCTGCTAGAGTGCAGTCTGACCCTCCGAACCAGGTTGGATACGGGCAGATGGCTTGCGTGCAGCCGAAGCCGGGAAGCGGAGGCAGTCCCATGCGACCAGGGCAAGCAGCTGCACACTTGTCACACGGACCAGAGTTGATAATGGGAAGGGCGTAGTTGACTGTTGCATGGCAGTACGACGGGTATGAGACGAAATCTGATCCGCACACCGTGAGAGACGTTGCACAGCTGCCGTCGATCATACCGATGCCGGCAATACAGGGGATGATGAGGTTGGTGCCGATTGGGAGCGGTGCAGAGGCGTTCGGGATGAAGTTTTGGGCAGCAATGGCAGCCGGGGAAATAGAAAGTAGTGTGCAGCGGGGGAGGTATTGGGTGGAGATGGTGGAGAGGGTATCGTTCGGGCGGACGGTGTAGATTGAGTAGTTGGCGTTTGGGTTTCGCTGCATGGTGGTGAGGGGGGGTGAGTCGATGCAGACCTGCTGGCCCACCACCAGGTAGGGCGCCTGGCACTGTAAGGGGGGGAGAAATGAGAGAAAATTCCAAAACAGGGAAAAACAAACAAAGAATATATCACACTTAATAATTGCAAATGAGGCCGAGGATGATGGTAAGGGACAATAGGGATACCCTGGCATGAAAGGGAGAGAGAAGAAATGGATGCTGTCGTATGGGGCCGTAAATGAAGCTTCATGGAAGTTACCTGGATGCCGGGGTTGACGGCTTACCTGGATACCAGGGTTGATGGTGAGGAACATGGACATGGTGAGGTTGGCTCCATTCCAGATGGAGGGGCATGTGTCGCCCTGCATCACCCGGTACCACCCCGTGCAGTCGAGGCTCGCCTGTCCAGAAAGGCCAGGGGGGATACGGATGGGGGAGAGGAGAGGCAGAGGGGGATAGGGGGGAGGCAGGGAAGGAAGGGCAGGGAAGCCAGGGATAAGGGCCCAAGTGCAGTTGATGGTTGTCTGCGGTCATGCAGGGGGTGGGTAAGTCGCGGGGAGCAGGGGGGGTGGGAGCAGGGGTGATGAGAGCAGGGGAAGGGAGAGTATATTGGCTGTCCTGTCAAGCGAAAATGGAGACAAGAGGTGGGGATTCACACGGGAGGAGGTGACCAGTGAGAAGGGAAGGGAAGGCATCTTCTTGGTTCTTACCACAGCTGATTTTGATGCCACACATACAGAGGAGCCCACTGCAAGACTGCCGTTGCAGTTGGCTGCTGGGTTGAGCCTGCAGCAGCGGAGAGGAATTGCAGGGAGAGAGAGGGACTGGATGGTTTGAGTGACCACGGATACGCATCATGGTTGTGTCGAGCAGACAAGCGGTGAAATCGGGGGAGAGGGAAACAGTGTTGCAAAAGGTGTAAGGGGAAGTGGAGCAAGGACGAGACATTGAAATGTAAACAATCAATGGATGAGTCTGGAATACTCACGATACAACAGTTGCGTAGTCAACTGAATATTTAACGGCAACCGATGCGCAAGTGTCTCCCATGACCACGTCAACGCTTTGCCCGCACTGTACAGCCGATGATGTGGCCGATGCGGTAACCATTTGAAGGCAGACTTGCTCCGACTTGAACAAGCGCTTGCACGATAGGCCAGGGTTGCTTGCCTTAAGGGAAGTGAGTGATCCGTTGAAGAAAGTGTTTGCTACTGAAGTGCAAGTGTCGGAAGGTCGGACGGAATATGTGTTGGTGCAATACGAGGATGAGGAGTTAAGTGCTGCTGATACTGTAAGTGCAATTCCGGGAGGGAGGTATTCTGTAACGGAGCAGTTAATGAAACTGTTCAGGCTGGTCAGCATGGTGGTCGATATGTGAATGATGTCGCAACATAAGTGCAGTTGTCGCCAGGGTTGGTAACATAAGACTTCGCGAGGCCAGCTGCAGGAACACACGTTGGCGAACCGTCCACAGCAGCTCCGATGGCGAAACCCGCTGTGCAGGCGCACGTGTATGTCCCGTCGCCAACATCACTGCATGTTCCGCCTCCGCAGGGATTCACAAGAGAAATCGTGCAGGGACTTCGCGGCACGCACTTAGACGTGGGCAATCCTAGCATCTCAACAAAATTCGCCAGCCCGCTGCAGTCGCACCGCGGAACTCCGCCACTCATGTAACAATTGCCGCCGCCGCACGGGTTAATCATCCCCGCGCACGTAGTACCCGGCATGGTCGTAATATTGTCGATGGTGACGGCGTTGGTGGTGGTTGAAAGGGTGGAGGAGAAGAGCGACGACGAGAGGTCGTCCACCTTGGTAATTTTCCACTTGCCGCGCTTGTCGGACACAAAGCGCGCCGGCTGCTGCCCGGATGGGAAATAGACGGGGTACATGGCGGGGGTTCTGCGCGGAAAAAAGGGGGGGAAAGAAGAGGAATGTGGTTGGTTATTAGTTAGACAAACAATCTTTCGCCGCATTGGCAAGCGGGGAAGGGGATAAAGGGCGTCTAGTCTGGAGGGGATGGGCGAGAGTGTGAGGACACGCAATAGGGACGTCGTGAGTGCAGCTCGTCAGAGATATCGCACGCGACAGTGGCCGCAGGGATGGGAGGGGGGAGACGCGCACCCGAAATAGGAAACAATTCTGCATGTCACTTGAAAGAGCAGCAACATTCCCAGCACGCGAATCGCGACAAAATGGTGAGAGGACAGCAGAATCGTGGAGGAATGAAAGTTTGACGGGTAAGATGCCTGCGGGACGCGTGGTGAGAGTGGGTCCAAGAACGTACGATAAGATGCCGCATTTCCCGCGCACGTCAGGCGTCATGGCGAGGTACATGTAGCCGCGGTCGGCCCACGTGGCGTACCACGAGTTCTTGATGATCCAGTAGCTGCCTTTGAGGTCCGGCCCCGTGTAGTTAAAGCCCACCACCACCACCGCGTGGTTCACGTCCGTCGTGCACAGCCCGTTGTAAATGTTGACCGTGTCGCGGCTTGCATACGCCTGCACGGGGAGAGTGGTGGACAAAGAGGGAAGGAAACGCGGGGACTCGTACATGGTGCGACGCGGCAAATCGGAAGCAATTGAAACGCAGATCGGGAAACGGTGTGAGCGGAGAAACGCGGGGATTTGAAAAACGATGTGATTGGAACGACGCGGAAGAACGGGGAACGTGTGAGAGGAAAACGGGGGGAACCAGGAAACGGTGGGAGCCGGGAAACGCGGGGAAAACAGTCTGCGCCGGGAAACGCGGGGAATGGGGGAACGGTGAGCTAGGAAACTCGGGGATTCGGGAAACGATGTGCGCAGAACATGGGGGGGAATCGAGAAACGTGCGAGCGGCGAAGCGCGGGGAGAGGGAACGGGAGGCAGGGGCGCAGGGAGCAGGGCGGCGTACGGTGAAATCGGGGGCGGAGGCGCTGATGAAGGCGACGACGGGCTGCATGCTGACGGCCTTCATGAGCGCCATGGCGTTGAATGCCGGCACCAGCTCCCACCCCGTGATCTGCGCCACGGACGGCATGGTTGTGTCGAGCAGACACGTGGCGGAATCGTAGGCGAGGTAGGGGTAGTTGGCGTTGGTGGTGATGCCGCCGTTGAAGAGCACGTAGGAGAAGGCCCACTCGGGCCACCCGCCCTGGCAGCACTGCTTCGTCGCGCAGTCGCACACCTGCTGCGGCGACAGGTTCGTCCCCGTGGCGTTGTTGGCGATCGCCCACATTATGGCGATGGAATCGACGGCTGCGATCGCCCAGCAGCTTGAGCACTGCGAAGCGGAAGTAAGGAGAGTAAGCGGCGCGTTTGGAGGTGAGTGAAGCTAAGTACCGTAATACTTCAGGAACGACGATTTCGAGACACGCAGCAGAGAAGTCAGCTGAACGAATCACATCAGCCTACTATCTCCGGCGACTAGCAAACGGCGAGTGAAAAGCAGACGGGCGTGCATCTGCAAGCGGAGAAGGCACCACACACTGCGGGATGGGCGGGTTACGCACCACATACTGCGTCTGGATGGGCGTGATGGCGACGGTCTTGCGCCAGTCGACGACGGGCGGCGGCGTGACGCTCTCCCAGCGGTAGAACGACATGTTAACCGTCGCCATGCTCGGCCCCGAGTTAAGCGGCGGCGCCGACAGCCCGAGCTTCACTCCGGTGTCCACCAGAACGCGCCCGCCGCGCCGGCCGCCGCCACCGCCGCCTTCAAATTCGCGTTCCGCGTCGCGAGCGGCTTCGAGAATGCGGTCCGCGTGCTGCCGCCTCAGCTCCACGGGGAGCTCCATCGTTTTTCCCATGGAGATTTCGAATTGCGTGGAAGCGTGGGTGGCGTGGCGTGGCATGAAGGCCAGAGGGAGTGCAGTTAGGAGAACAGCGTTCGCGGCCGCCATTAGTCGGCTTCTGTCCCCCATCTTGCATGTGCGCCTTACTCTCACAATCTCCCGCTACACAGTGGTGACGTGGGAAAGGCGTAATTTCGTCGGACAGCAAACTACGTTGAAACATTCAGTTGCGGCCTCTAGGGATCTATGAAGAAGAAGCCCTAGGTTATTCCGCAGGTCACGCGACTCTTCAGTACTACCTGTGGCTCTACAGAAGAACCAACCAACCAACTCGTTGATTGTGATTCCTCGCACGTGGCATTCGCCACGTAGTGACGCTTGAGAGTCTGGGCGTCATTTTTGGGGAAGTATGGCGTGGCGAGTCCGGAACTGAACAGACCGTTTGTCCGTGAGATCCAGCAGGGAGCTGAGGGGAGGCGCGAGGCTGAACATTCCTGAACATGAATGAACACGGAACCAATTCCACTCACCCGCACATGAAGCACGTCCAAATCCACCCCTTCGTCTGTTCTCGACCAAATGCAGTACTAGTTCAAGGGGTACATTGCACACTCACGAAAAGGACAGAAGGCTTTGGGGCCACCTCCTCGGTCGGGATGCTGGTTCGCTACCGAATTTGCCGTACGTAGTGCTGTAACAAAATCTTCGTGAGTTCGCAAGCTTCCTCACACCACTGGTTCTTTCGTTTTGGGTGACTTTTGGGTGAACCTGGAGGTCGCCCCGCCAGCAGGTCACCAGCTGGCCCACCAGAACTGAGGGTGACCCTGAGGGGATGCAGGTCCCTTGCCAGAATCAGGGCGTGGTGCAAATCGAGGTGATGTGTGGCTGATGCCTCGATTAACTACACCTGATACTCACCTTACTCACAATAGTCTGCCGAACTCGTTCTCAACGCCTTCCATTGACGTTGCGGCTTAGGTAGATTTGAATTTTGACCGAGACTGGTTGAGAATCCCAACCAGGCCCCTTGATTTGTTATGGTTTTGGGCCCTTGTCTAAAATGGCAGAGTCAAATTTTCCGCAATGTTCAAATGCCTGCCGTTATGGCATATCCAGAGCCAGGCCATACGATAATTATGGACTGAAAAATAAAACGGATCATGATGGAAATCAACAAAGATAGAAACAAAAGAATGTCAGGTTGTACTAGCACAAAAGAAAAACAGAACCTTTGGCCCCAATGCATGTCGGTCTGAGCTACGCACATGCACTCTATGCACTTCAACACCCCATGCAAAGTGGCACCCCACGCAACCATCACCACAGGCACGCATATTCCAACAGCCAGGCAAGAAGCAACAAAAGCAGAGGCAACAACCGCCCCCCCAGACAGCCCAAACACGGAGCCCATACAGGCAGCCCATGCAGGGAGCCCTTGCAGGGAGCTGTTAAGGTAAGGGAGATCCAGCAGGGTAGTAGCTGCAGATGAATGTATACCCAACTCCCAAGGTGAACGAGCAAGTGCGTGGCGAGGTCTGATAGCAGGCGTTGCTCGTGGTAGTGCACGCGGGCCCCCCGCACGGCGCAGCAGCGCAGCACATGCAATTGTTCATGCAGTTGTTGTAGTTTGTCGTCTTGGTCGCAGCGGTTCCACCCAAAGTTTCAGCCGTTCCGTTGCATGACTTCTGGCAAAGCGTTCTCCGGTAGCTGCAGCACGGTGACGTAAGGTTGTTGCCATCTCCTAGGGTGCAGTCTGATCCTGACATCCAGGTTGGGTATGGGCAGATGGCTTGAGTGCAGCCGAACCCGGAGGCCGGGGCCAGTCCCATGCGGTTAACGCACGCCGACGCACAGTTGTCACACGGGTTATTCTGGTACAGTGAAAGACCGTAATTCACGCCTGCATGGCAGTACGATGGGTACGAGACGAAATCCGATCCGCACACCGTGAGAGACGTCGCACAGCCGCCATCGATAATACCGATGCCGCCAATACAGGGGATGATGAGGTTCAGGCCGACGGGGAGTGGTGCAGAGGCGTTGAGAATGAAGTTTTGGGCGGCAATGGCAGCAGGGGAAACAGAAAGTAGCGTGCAGCGGGTGAGGTACTGGGTGGAGATGGTGGAGAGGGTATCGCCGGCGCGGACGGTGTAGATGGAGTAGTTGGCATTTGGGTTTCGCTGCATGGTGGTGAGGAGGGGTGAGTCGATGCAGACCTGCTGGCCCACCACCAGGTAGGGCGCCTGGCACTGCAGGGAAGGGGGGGGGGGGGGGGGGGGGGGGGGAAGAAATGGCAAGGGAGAAAGAAATAAGTAGGCTGGCGGTGCAAAGAGCGTGGTGAATTGCGCAACAGAACCAGTGCAAAGACCCAGGCAGTACCCAGGGAAGGGGGGAGGGCTGGAAAGGGTGGGAGAGAAGACGGAGAGGTGCGGGGTCGTTGAAGGGTACTATGGGGCGGTACGTGAAGCTTCAAGAAGGTTACCTGGATGCCCGGGTTGATGGAGAGGAACATGGACATGGTGAGGTTGGCTCCATTCCAGATGGAGGGGCATGTGTCGCCCTGCATCACCCGGTACCACCCCGTGCAGTTGATGGTGGTCTGCGGACAGGCAGAGAGAGAGATTGGGGTTGGGAGAAGAGGAGACACAAATTGCATGAGACATGGAGTCACAATGTTGGGAGTAAAGCGGGAGGAGAATCACTAACAAAATGAACTGTGGGAGCGTGTTATTTGTGCTTACCGCAGGTGCTGATGGAGCCACACATACGTATGAGCCCACTGCAAGGTTGCTGCAGTTGACGCCTGGGTTGAGCCTGCACAGGGGCAAGAGCAGAATTGCAGCCGAGATGTTTTGGAATGAGGTACTGTGGAAATGCAGAAACAGTGGTGACTCGAAGGGAATTGATGGAGTTCTGGATGCGAAACAGTGGTGTGATTATGAAATCTGGAGGAAGAGAGTTGGATAGGAAGAGAAGAAAAAATCGGAGCGAGGGGGGAATTTTGAACTTACAAAACCAGTAGCATGAGGCAAATACTTACGAGGCAAATGTTACGCTGTCAACTGAATATTTAGCAGCAACCGAAGTGCAAGTGTCTCCGATCACCACAGGGACGCTTTGCCCGCACTGTGGAGCCGACGATGTTGTCGATGCGGTAACCATTTGAAGGCAGATCTGCTGTGACTTGAACAAGCGCTTGCACGACAAGCCAGGGTTGATTGCCATAAGGGAAGTGAGAGATCCGTTGAAGAAAGTGTTGGCGACAGAAGTGCAAGTGTCCGAAGGTCGGACGGTGTATGTGTTGGTGCAATATGAGGATAAGGAAGTCACTGCTGCCGAAACTGTAAGTGCAATTCCGGGAGGGAGGTATTCTGTAACGGAGCAGTTAATAAAACTGTTCAGACTGGTCAGTGAGGTGGTCGATATGTTGAAAGAAGTCGCGACAAACGTGCAGTTGTCGCCAGGATTGGTAACATAGGACTTCGCGAGGCCAGCTGCAGGGACGCACGTTGGCGAACCGTCGACAGCTGCGCCGACGGCGTAACCCGCAGTGCACGCGCAAGTGTACGTCCCGTCGCCAACATCCGAGCACGATCCGCCGCCGCAGGGATTCACAGGAGCCGTCGTGCAGGGACTTCGCGGCACGCACTTGGACGTGGGCAATCCGGGCATCTCAACAAAATTCGCCAGTGCGCTGCAATTGCACCGCGGAACTCCGCCGCTCACGTAACAACCGCCCCCACCGCAAGGGTTGATCATCCCCGCGCACGTCGTTCCCAGCGTGGGGCTGAGGGTGGTGGCGGTGGTGGTGGTGGTTGAAAGGGTGGAGGAGAAGAGCGACGACGAGAGGTCGTCCACCTTGTTGATTTTCCACTTGCCGCCCTTGTCTGACGCAAAGCGCGCCGGCTGCTGCCCGGATGGGAAGTAGACGGGGTACATGGCGGGGGTTCTGCGCGGAAAGGAGGGATGGCGAGAGGAGAGCAGACTCTGGTTAATACATGGAACTACTAATAGAATATTCGCACACTGGTAGACGGAGAAGGGGATAAAGGGCGCTGTAAAGGTAAACTCAGGTGATGCAGCGAGTGGGAAGACATGCAACAGGGACGTCGTGAGAGCGGCGGAGGCTGGCATTAAAGATAGCGCAAACGAGAGAGACAGCAGGGAGATGAGGGCGAGAGACACGAGTGAATACGCAGCGCGCGAATTGTGAGAATCGGTGAGTGGAGTGTAGAATCGGTGGATTAGTGGAGGAAGAAAAGGAGTACACGAAACATGATGCAACGCGCAACGGAAGAAAAAGACAGGAAATCGGCGGCGCAAGACGCGAACGCGAAATTGGGACGCGACGCGTCGCGAACGCATCGTAAACGCGAGGGCGGCAGTACCGCTACCCCATAGGACTTGCTAGAACAGCCCGAATATCCCGCGCAAGACTCCTGAGGAATGCGTGTCGAGAGCGGGTCCAGGAACGTACGATAAGATGCCGCATTTTCCGCGCACGTCGGGCGTCATGGCGAGGTACATGTAGCCGCGGTCGCCCCACGTGGCGTACCACGAGTTCTTGATGATCCAGTAGCTGCCTTTGAGGTCCGGCCCCGTGTAGTTAAAGCCCACCACCACCACCGCGTGGTTCACGTCCGTCGTGCACAGCCCGTTGTAAATGTTGAGCACGCCATTGCTTGAGTAACCCTGCACGTGGAGAGAGGTGGACGAGACGGAAGAAAACGCGAGGAGTTGGTGTCCGGGTAACGCAAGGAGTCGGGAAAGATCGCGAGTGGGAAAACGCGGCAAAAAGATATGTGAGCCAAGAAACGCGGGGAATCGAGAAACGATGTGCGCAGAAAATCGCGGGGAATCGAGAAATGTTGTGCGCAGAAAATTGCGGGGAATCGAGAAATGATGTGCGCAGAAAATCGCGGGGAATCGAGAACGGTGCGAGCGGCGAAGCGGGGGGAGCCGGACGCAGGGCGCAGGCGGCGTACGGTGAAATCGGCGGCGGAGGCGCTGATGAAGGCGACGACGGGCTGCATGCTGACGGCCTTCATGAGCGCCATGGCGTTGAATGCCGGCACCAGCTCCCACCCCGTGATCTGCGCCGCGGTCGACATGGTTGTGTCGAGCAGACACGTGGCGGAATCTAAGGCGGTGTACGGGTAGTTGGCGTTGGTGGTGATGCCGCCGTTGAAGAGCACGTAGGAGAAGGCCCACTCGGGCCACCCGCCCTGGCAGCACTGCTTCGTCGCGCAGTCGCACACCTGCTGCGGCGACAGGTTCGCCCCGGTGCTGTTGTTGGGGATCGCCCACATGATGGCGATGGTATCGACGGCCGCGATCGCCCAGCAGCTTGAGCACTGCGGAGGAAAGGAGGGGATTAAGAGGCAAATTTGGAGCTTAGTAGAGCTGATTTAATGCACATCGGCTATTATTCCCAGCAGCTAGCAGAGATCGAGTGAGAAGCAGACGAGCGTGGAGGCGCGAGCGGAATAAGCATCGCGTGAAAAGCAGACAAGGGGTGGAGCCGCGAGCGGAATACGCATCGAGTGAAAAGCAGAGGGGCGTGGAGCCGCGAGCGGAGTACGCACGACACTATGCGTCTGGATGGGAGGAGTACACACCACATATTGCGTTAGGATGGGCGTGATGGCGATGTTCTTGCGCCAGTCGACGACGGGCGGCGGCGTGACGCTCTCCCAGCGGTAGAACGACATGTTCACCGTCGCCATGCTCGGCCCCGAGTTAAGCGGCGGCGCCGATAGCCCGAGCTTCACTCCCGCATTTTGGAGAACGCGTCTGTTGCTCAGACCGCCGGCATCGCCGCCTTCGAGTTCGCGATCCCCGTCGCTAGCGGCTGCGAGAATGCGGTCCGCGTGCTGCCGCCTCAGCTCCTCGGGCAGCTCTAACATCCTTCGCATGGAGATCTCGAACTGCGTGGGCTGCGCCGTGGAAGCGTCGGCTGCGTGGCATGGCACGAACGCTTGAACGAGCGAAATTAGGAAAATCAAGGACAAGACCGCCATTGGTCGGCCTCTGTTTCCCATCTCGCACGTGCGCCTTACCCTACACTTCGTGTTGCGTCGCAAGGGTAGTGACGTTGGAAAGGTGTGGAGTTTGCGGACTTCACTAAAACGTGGCTGCACTCCCAACAACACGGCTGCACTCAGGGAAAAACCACAGATTTCCAGTGGTCTAGTAGTGGGGACATTGTAGAAACAAGCACCTGGAGGTGACGCTTCAAGGTCTGCCCACCTCGCATTCTCCGCAATAGCAATTTCATGCTATTCCGCGCAGGTCACGCGCGCGACTCTTCCGCACAACCTCTGACGCTCAGTTGCGTTGCGCGGACCTGCTTGGCCTTACCAACCAACCAACCTTCAACTGTACAAATTCCTTGGTTGTGATTCCTTGCACATGGCAGATTTGCCATCTGGTGACAATTGAGAGGCTAAAAAACGTCGTGGGGGGAGTAATGTGTGACATGTTTGTTTGTGGAAGCCGGCAGAGACCCTAGGAGACAGGAGGAGATGCGGAGCGGAGGCCGATTCTTATTGCAGATCACATGGTTTCGTTCGCCTCGGATAGGTGCGCAGTGGTTCAAAGTGATGACAGCTAAGAGTGTGTCCGAACCAAACCGAAGTGAAACGTTGCCATGCCTCGACCAACAAAAATCGAGTTCCGACCACCAGAAGGAACATGTCGACACCCGTCAAAGTTTTGCCGAGGGTTGTCGAGTCGGCGTCAATTCGGGCACCCCTTACAAATACCATTCCCGACCAGAACTGTCGATTGAGGGCATCTGCCAGTCATGCCCTGAAAATATGGCCCTCTTGGAGTACTACTACTTTCGATTGAAGATTTGGTTTCGGCTGCCGTCCGTCCGAGGTCATGAGTGTGGTGTGGGACCAATTTCTTGCGATCAGGGCTCATTTGAACCATTTCTCCAAATTTTACAACTTGCGATTCTTAGAACATCTAGCCCTACCCCCTCTCTTTCTGCTTCCCGAACATTGGATTTGGTACTGTGAGTGGTTTACACTATGAAAATGAATACGCAAAAAGTACAGTCATTTCACAGCCCGTGCCCGTGCATGATACTTTGGGCTGCTGCCCTTGAAAATACGCACCACTGTAATGCCCCCAGCCCCAGACCAAACACCCACCCCCAGACCATTTGTCCAACAGTGAACACGAAGCGAAGAGTGAAAGACTACACATGTTTATCGTTACAGTAATCTCTGCAAAGAATTGTTATGGACAACGAACGTGCATGGGAAAGTACACGCTCGGTATAAGCCGAAATACAGTGGACTAATGTCGCCCAAATCATTTCTGATCCTTGTACAAGGAAGCCTGAAGCTGGCCCACGACAGGCTACAAAAACATAAAAAAAAAAAAAAAACAAACAACACGGACTGGCTGAAAAGAATTCAAGGTTTGGACAATTTGGTAACCCATCTACGGTTCAAAATCTCAGATTTTCATGGAATACTATTCATGCGGAATAGATAGGCATGAAAAGAGAATATTGCGTATAGCACAGAAACAAAGAAATTACACCCTCATTCTCAGTCTGTGCACAATCGCCACATGCACCGAACGCTTGTAGTGACTGCAACGTGCCTAGAATGGTGCATGCACATACTCTACAAGCACAATCACGACTGCCACGTTGGTAATGCAGCTGTTGACTTTGACTGGCAGGAAGTGTACAGTGCGCTCACATGTGTGGTTGGCTGCCGTTGCTTTTCGCTCTACCATACGTTACCCCTTTCTACCGAACGTAGATATTCTGTATGTGTTTTGAACCTGTGTTAGGAATTGTCTGTTTCTTGTGTGTTTTGATGTGGAATCTTTGGCCACAGTGTAGGACAAAGTGAACAAGTCGTTTCGAATGTTACTGTTTTGGCGCTTGGTGCATGGTGTGCCTGGCAACATTAGGGGGTTCGGCCACAAGCACAGAGACGCTACCTGACAACACTGTTGTCGCTGCTCCCGATTGTGCGTAGACTGAGAATGAGGGTGTACACGTCCAGATCCAGAAAAATGACGACAACACGTCAGTGGCGGGCATACAGCCTGTATACAGGCTGTGAAAGGACGGGTATGCATGTCCGACAGGCAGAAGGTTCGAGGCCAGGTGCCCAGACACACGGCAACAGTGTTTGGAACAACCACCTTCGCACATCCGCAAACATCTTGACGCCAGCTTGACGACAGGGCAGCCCACCGCTACCGCGAGGGGGGTTTGACCTCAGGTCACTGGATCCGAGCCTGCGCTTTCGAGCCTCTAAGGACGCGGCACTTCTAGCACCGATACTGCGATCGATCCCGCTCAGGATCGAATTTTGCAGGAGTTCAAAATGGTTTTAGAAGAGTTTAATGTTTTTGGCAGGATTTCAGTTTGGTGGAATCAGCGAACCTGGGATCGATCGTGCAAAATTTCTAGAGGTGCCGCGTCCTAATCCCTGGGGGCAAATTTGCAGCTTCGGAGATAAGTGAATTTGTTGTCATCATGGTTCGATAATAAGCCCGCAAGGCTCGGCATCGTCCGAACCTTTCTGGTTCGAAGTACTGCAAAATGATGTTGAAGATGTGGGAAGAGGTAGGTGAGCTGAAAGGTGCTACACCCTGTTTTGCGCTATATAAGGACGCGTCAACTCCTGCAAATTTCGCCGATCGATCCTGCGCAGGGTCGAAATTTACCTGGGTAGAAGAGGTTCTATAAGGGCGCGTTCGTTCTTGCCGAACCTGACTGAAAGTTCGAACTTTTGTAACGGTTCGTCACGGTAGAATACAATTAAAAACGTTTTGCCACGGTGCAAAGCGGTTTGAGTTCGAACTTTGTCAGGTTCGGCAAGAACGAACGCGCCCTAAGAGGTTCCATAAGAAGCAAATGCGGGGTTTCAGTGCGTGGCCGATCGATTTTGCATGATCGATCGCCAATTTTAGCAGGAGTTGACGCGTCCTAACAGATTTCGGTATACTCAGTTATTTGTTAGTAGAATCTTATACCTTTTCAGCACACATTGACAATGACAATGACTGAACTACCAAAGCTGCCATGGATTCCTTCGCGTAAATGCAAATTCAGGAGCCTGTTATGTGAAAATTTCTCATCAATTAGTAACACTGTGGCTGCGTTCTGCGGGCGCATCAGCTCTGATGCGCCCTAGGCTCGGCCTGATCCACACAATGACAAATTTGTTACGATATGAAGATTTTATGAGAATGCATTCCTGTATGCTGCAGGAGCCGACTCTACCGAGTACGAAGTCGAGGAGTCAGAAGAGTCGAAGCGACACAGCAACCGTCTGATCAAGACCGATGCAGGCAGAAACATTTGTCAGAATCCCAATCACTAACCACTGGGATAAAAGGGCTTGTTTATATAGCGGGTGAGTGCGCCCATAACCCCCCAGGCCAACGTGCCTGTAACCCTTCCCTATGATCAATCGGGGATCTCCAGTGGACCTCTGACACCCCCCCGCACTGGGATGCCCGAGGTGCATACACCGGGATTCGAACCCGAGACCTTCGCTCTGATACCATGTCAGAATCCCAGTCACTAACCACTGGGATAAAAGGGCTTGTTTGTGTAGCGGGTGAGTGCACCCATAACCCCCCAGGCCAACGTGCCTGTAACCCTTCCCTAGGATCAATCGGGGATCTCCAGTGGACCTCTGACAACATTTGAACTGAAAAGAGCGGGAACAGTTTTGAAACTGGTTCCCGCGCTGCACGGTTCGAATTTCACTGCAATAAGGGAATGTACCCCTTAGAGTACATGGCTAGTCTATGTCGTTTCGTATTCCTTTGTATTCTTATATAAACCCTATGTATGCATGCTATTATCATCTCAGTCATTTACATTCACTCCAGTGCCCTAGATATCAGACTTTAAATTCCGATTCAGAGTCCGTTTATACTTTTTTTTTTTACCTAGTCTGAAGTCTAAGAATTCTTTTATGTACCTTGTCTGATTTTTCAGAGGTTTTTTTTATGAGTTGTCTTAAATTTCAGCCTAATTCTATAAGTGTAGGCTGAGCCTCAGACTTGTATCGAGGGTACACTCTGCGCGCTGATCGGAGCAAAGTTTCCTGGAAGTTTCTTTTCAATATGCCCACTTCCGAGATGGCAGTGGAGTTTTTTTTTTTTTTTTTGGTAGGTGAAAATGCATTATACAACGCAAAAACACCGTCGGTCGTAACCGGAGCTAGAGGGCATTGGTAGCATATACTACCTGTACCCTCGCAGATTCCTACGGAGGTCTATAAGTCAAATGCCTAAACACTTTATCTTGCTCGTTTGCAGCTTTCTTTGCACACTTGGCTCACTTCAGATTCAAATCTGGCTGGAAAATGCAGACTCCTTGCCTTGTATGTTGCTTCAGTTTTGATTGGACCTTTTTGAAGTTGCGTTGTCGGGAGTGGTGAGGCTTTGTTGAAGCCAACCTTGCAGACTTTTGAATACGGTGGAAAGCGGTTTCAGCCGAAATGTAACTTGGGTGTTCTCGAAGCTTCTGGTGGAGAGACCCAATTCCCAACTTCCTCTGACGACGGCGTGGAATGAAAATTGCAGAAGCTGCTACATTTGCTCTGGACTTCCCTGAGGTGCCTCGGGGCCTCCCTCCTGGCTCAAGTGCAACCATAGCATGACGCCATAGACAAGTATCGTCCAGTTGCATAAAAATTTCTTGATGATTATCTGCCTCCTCTTCGTTTGAATAGATCAGGACCATGTCTGAAGAAATATTTCCGTCTTCATCCAGGAACATGTTAGAAATTATATATCCATCGTTATTCTCGTTGGTAGTTATGCGAAAACCAGGTAGTGCTGCTTGATCCGCCATTGTAGAATTATATTTGCATGTGCACATCACAATCTTCCCGCTTTTCTTGAGTTGCGTGCGCTTGGGTTCCGAGCACATTTTCAGGCCCAAACACACACAAATTTCCCACTGGAATTTCGTGCCCTGGATTTCAACCGCACCGCGACTGGAATTTTCTGCGGGCGCAGAACA